GGCCCGGTTATTATTTCACTTTCATTTACAGAATATATGGTTGCAATAACATATTTCAAAAAGATGAATCAGTTAATCAAAGGGCTGTCGTAGGGTACAATAAAATGAGGACAGTTGGGTGGTTATGGTGCTGGGGTCTGAACACATGATTACCGCTGCAATAAGTTGTCGACCTTAACCGCATGACCGCTTGATGTCATCGGCAGAGGTCCGGTTCACATTTTTCCTAGTTTTGTTGGGTTGCATTAATCAACCGTTGTGGCTGATGAAATACTACTATCTGTTCAATCTGTTCTGTAATCAATTTATGTTTTGCTGTTTTAATCTGACTTACCGCTCTCTCGTTTCTGTTAATCGATGACCTGAACGATGGTTGTTCCTATTACTTTCTTGGGTTAGTTTTCATGGTACTGAATTATTAATGAACAAACTGATGTTGAGCCTAATGCATTGATTTTGTTTTGATAAATCCTAGTTTTAGGGATACGTGGTTCATTGGGGGCGATACAACAAACGAACATGTTACTACTGCACGATAAATGTACTCACTCGAACGTCGTAGCTCAGTTCAATGGATTTTTTTAGAACCGTTAATTACACAGTTCCTCGTTCCAATTGTGGTTATTGTCTTTTGTCAACCAGAAGACGAATAAGGTAATACCCAAACCGAGGGTCCAGAGAAAACCGGATACATCTGGGGATACTAACTAATCGTACGAGTGCCGCTATTGAGGACACTCATTCGTGTCACCTATTGCCTGGAACCATATGTATATATATAGCGTGTGAAGCTTTCCATCGCTCTAGTTTGCAGAGGTGGTTGTCATAAAACGATGCAAACCAAACTGTCTAAACATTGGGAGTTATTTGTAACTCTTGCCTTGTAACCTTGTCTTGGTAGAAGATGAACAATATATAAACTCCAACAGCTTACTAACGGTGATTGTAAGTTATTTTTAACTATGGTATGTAGCTGGGTTGATGAAACGATTATTTCGGGGATAAATTGTGTACTGCTTTGTTCTCTATTCAAATTCATATCCCGAACGGGATAGTTAATCAAGTTGTGATAATGATGTCTTGTAGTTGAGCGATGCCGTTGGGCATCCTGAGCCTAGCAATAGATTTTGATAACTATGGTTTTGAATCGGGCATTAGCGATGCCATCTATCATTGAACTCGGTTGTACTGAAGGGAGTTGAGCGCAAGAACGTCAGAATTTTTCAAGTCAAGCCGTCAATCTGAGACATGGAAGTAAAAAACAATGTTATGTTTCTCATTTGGTTTGACTAAGACTTACCTGATACATGTCTGCTGGTGGGTGGGTGCTCAACTTCGTTCAACAAAACCATCATTGCCTATGCTTTGCACGAAATGCCAATATGATTTTCCTAAAAAGCATCTTTGGTTTGTACTGAAGAGCGGGTGAACTTAGCGATATGTGATTGTGCATGACGATGCACGACTCGCAGTCGAGTGCAATTGAAAAACGGCTTAGTGATCCATCTTATGGCGGCTTTTTCACAATGGTTATCCAAGAATGGGGTCTTAACTGATGTGCTCCACCGGGTAACCCGATTTGGTTAGTCGTCACGNCTCAGATTGTCTGTCCGGCAGCTAGGTTCTTCTGCTGTCCCGGGACTTCAAAGTCGCGGTAGATTCTTGTAATCAAAGAGTGAGTGCCCTAATATGGAGCGATTAAAACGTTTGAGCGTGAAAGTGTGACTGATGTTGATCATGATGACAGAAAATAAGCGACATTCGCTTGCAATCAATTTTTGGGCTACCTGAGGCGATAGCTTGGGATGCTAATGCTAGTGACCCTGGTCAGGATATATTTGTTATCTGCGCACAGCATTAGGACCAACGGTCGAGGTCCGGATGTTTTCGCCCAGCTTGATGGACACTGTTTGTGTGGTTTGACAATAGGAGTGTTTCTAATCCGTGTATCCGGCCAAATAAAGCGTATGTAATCGATTTAAGCGAGGGAGTGCCTCGAGATAGTATCAGTTGTAACCAGACAAATTCTTTGTCGACGAAATAAAAGTAACTTTGATTTCGGTAGTGTTGTGTGAAGCCTGATAATTATTCATTTCCGGATCAATAAAGCGTCTGACGATAAAATCTATGCATGTTTTCTGTTTAAAATGTTCCATTATCAGTTTAAAACGTCTCTCCATCAAATCAAGATATTCTGCTACTATTTGGATACTACCTTGTAAAGCCCATGAACAAACAGGACTGTACAGCTGATTACATGAGCGCTTTGCTACGAGGCTAGTGAGTTTATATGAGGACTATAGAGCTGTGTTATAAAGGGTCAAATTACACGAAAGTTTTTGTAAAACTATGGGTCGACTCTGAATCGGTACGTTTTTCTGTTATGCCATGCCGCTGTGATTCTGTGTGTTTATGTGAGAGAGAGGGAGCTAGTCGTTGCTGATTCGGGCTAATCGTTTTGATACCCAATGAGTTACGGCGTTGTCTCTCCAAGTTTTAGTCGCAATGTGCGGCGTACGACCACGCATACATAAAAAGAACTAACCTACGGCAAAAGAATAACAATTGGGTAGAACTTAGTGCTGAATAAAATTAATATTGAATGGAACAAGCGAAACACAAGATGGGGTAGCATCATCTCGATGCATGTCGTTTGACTAATGTTCTTCTCCCGATAGCAACTGCTCTGTAGTGCTGGTTAAAAGCGATAAAACTAGTCTGTGAAAACATCGACCCAAAAGCCATCTTCAGAATGTTATTTATATGGGATGCTGACCGAAGATCCTCGCACCTGAAAAATACACCTGTTCATGTATCAACTTGGCTGGTTGACATACGCATGTGGTTGAAACCACAACCGATATGAATTTGAACCATGTTAACTGTTCGGTGCTAAACTGCTTCTGAGCTACTGAGTTGAATGTGAGAGGTGATTTTTCAACCTAAAATCCGTCGTATTTCTGCCACAAAGCCTGTGGGTTCAGTATCATATGTAAACCGAAGTGTGTGGTTATCGTTCACTAAGTCTACCAAAGAGCGTTTTGTTCTGCATATTAATTTCAGTTTCTCCTTGCCTAGTGTTTAAACTGATCTTAACCTGCCGTTAGAGCGATCCTCCTTCACCCGAAAACTCTTTAATTTCGATAAGACTAAATGCACTTTTCTGCATTTGTTTTTGTATCCGCGGGTGCGGATTCAATCTATCTATGGATATGGAATGTGTTACTTAGATACGGAGTTACATTCTCCGCAGAGAGAGACCAAATGAGCCCTCTCCCTCCTCTCGAAGAGTGGTTGGTCTGGTCAGTTTGTGAGTCATACCAGTCCGTTAAACAAAAATAGAATTTCATGTAGATCGATGACCTTTTTTGAGCGATCTGTCGTTACACAATTTTAAGATTGACTGCTTTCATTACATTTCGTCGTCAATGTGTTTCAATACTTTCTCCGCCCCTATTTTACTTAGTGATGTCTATACTGTCTCATATTTATCTTCTCCCATCAGCTTGGTGGATCTATCAATGACCATATGTCAGCACTGAGTGACCTTCAAGTGCAGCTGAAAAATGCTGGCTTCTGTGGGAGTTCGACTGGTCTACAGTTAGTTGATGAATCGTGGGCCCGGAATTGTCTTACCGCGGGATCGATCGAGGAGGCCTGAGCTTTTGAAAGACTGACCAAAGAAATGTGTCATTACCAGTTTCATATGTTTCATTTATAATGCTTTCTCTTTTTGGCTGTGTCCGACTTGCTCTCATTTATTTTCCATAACTTCCTCACTTGTACGTACTTCTTATGCTGTTTTTACTGTCTACAGTATTTTATTTTATGGTTGTACTTCCTATGAACTTTAATCCCATGACTTGATTGAATACAGATTGATCCTGTCGAGTTAATCATTCTTTCGCATAGTTGATGGATCAAAATATGGACCAATTATGATGGTGCTTCGACTGATAGAATGTTTTTGCTGTTTACTTGCTTTTTATTCAAGGTTTACTTCACCAGCCAATCCAATAATACCGCTTATGACGATACTAACTAACCCATCTACTCCATATAACTCGCCAGTCTTCAGGATGATAGATTGCGATCGCCTGATTATCGTAACGTTGATGTGATTAATAGATATTCTGATACCATTCTACATCACGCATCTTCACCACTTGAATATCTCCAAGACTTCAGGTCGGTACAAAGTATACCTTTTTGGTGCTGCGTCTCACTGATTTCACTATGCTCATGCATCGCTTATAGGAAACCACACTTTTGTGGGTCAGTCCACAATCACCGTGTTGTAAGTGAATAAGAGTAAAAGTATACACGGATTGGTGTATCCGTTTTCTGCATTACTCGTCACATGATGGAGAAAAGAAACATCCTTTCTCTTTTCTACGTAACAGATGTATTGTTGCAGTCAAACTAGTGGTGTTTCCTCTAATCATTCAAGCGCCCTATTATGAGCGTGGCTCTTTTCCGTTGCGTATTGAAACAAAACACTTAGGTCCCGTGATGAGTTTGTCCAAATAAGTCCGAGGATTAGCTAGTAAGAGGAATTCTTCCCGTTTACTGTCATCGGTCACGTACGTATAACATCAAACAACATATGGGCACAAATGAAATGAAATCGGAAGTCTGGTTGAGTTTTATGATAAGTTGGGTTGTGTGCGTGTATGGGGGCGGTTGCCTGTGATCGATTAGAGTAGGCCACGAATAAAAGTCATACTCTTCTGAACACAGGTTGTGTTTTGTGTGCAAACTAGAAGCAAAATCGACTGCTCACATGCTAATTGGCAGAGTTTGTATGCCCCTGTAGGTTAGGTAGCTGATGAAATATGAAAACATCCCAGATTTCGTTTTGGCTTTGTAGCTTAGCTGAACAAAACATTCGTCGTTTTAGGTGAAAGTCTGAGAGTAATGATGCATTCGGCAAACGACGTTGTTCAAAGTCGCCCGATTCAACTCAAACCGACTCAGCTCAGGTCCGAATGCAGCGCTTCTCATTTGTTCAAAGCAATGGTTGAACTATGCAACTCTGCATAACAAGGGAATAAAACATATCCCAGTTACCTACCTTCCCTCATGTAATTATACTATCTACCTACTCATACGCTGTCTCTTAAATCACCGAACTGTCTTTTTATCCGACTGTAGTTTATAGGAGGTGATCTGAAACAGCAACTCTCCGAGGTTATGGAGTGACGAAAGAGTACGGTTTTGGGCAGAACGTCAGAAGAACCATCGATCACCAGAGTTTGACGATAATGGGGGATCGAAGCGTGTCGTGGGCTGATGAATGATACGGATTACAGGGGCTCACTAGTATTGCAATAGCTCGGTTTTACCGCCTGTTGGTCATCCCTTACGTAGTTCATTTTTCATTTTTGCCCGTTCCAATAACCATTTTGTAATAAACTTCGGAAACGCAGAATACTTCATGTTTGTTTTCAAAATAAAAAAATCAGTTCAAGCCATAATGTTTTTGTTCACTGCTATGTAATGTTTTTCAGCAAATGTACCACTTCGTTTATTCGTTCGTCCATTTGATCGATTTTTTTGGACATGGTTTTTATTCGTGCCAAGTATTGTCCACGGATTTGATCGATTCGTTGAATCATTTTCTCGTGTTGTCGATCCTGTTCGTCAAACCGCTCGCAACTTGTCGGTCCTGTTGTGGCTTGGTTGGCACAACTGGATTTGGCAGGCTGATCGGCAAACGTCGTTCCAGGTTTGAGTGACCGTAAATCCCGGCGAGCGTTCATTAAACGCCCCCAACCATGAGCTGGCTTCAATTCATCCAAGAAAAGAGGATAGGAATAGTTATTTATCTTAGTACTGAGGAAAAAGCACATGCATTATTTGAAGCATATTTAGTGTGGATACTCCTGAGTGGCTCTTACACCAATTGGGGTCCAAATTATATGATCCAGTACGGCGCTTACAGACTTCTGTTGATCCATCATAAGAAAGTGAATTAGTGTGTTCTATGCATTCTATCGGGACCTTGTGGATTATATTACTTTAGATCCCTAGACTTGGCTTGATGAATCACTTTATCTAAACAACATGTTCTTTTGACTATGAGTCTTAACTGTTGTGCTGTTCATCATCCAGTAATAATGATAGTAACAATAGCAAAATTGATGCGTATTTGCTCAGTAAATCCACAATAGGAAAAGGTCTGAACGAGTTGATTAATGGAAGCAGGTACTATTACAGGTGGCTTTGTATTTGCGTTTGCATAACCTATACAGTCCTATAACCTTACATTTCCGTTCAGAGGTAATCATGAAAATGAGCACCCTCTTCCAGTAACAATGCCTACCATGACCGTGATAATTTGATGTTAACGGGAATGCGAATTGTCTAGAGTTTTGTAAGAAGAACACAGTAGCTAGTCTAGATTTCGTTTCGATAGAATTTAGTCCTAAACTTTTTCCTGGGAACCTACTTCAAGATTACTACTACAAGTAATACCGCTATGAATAATATTTTTATTTACTTATTTATTTATTTACTAGTCTTTTATAATCTCATCGTGTTTTTATCATTGGTATCCGAAGGGAGAACAAGACGCCGTTGTAGTTTTGGGTTAATGGAGAGGAGAAATATTTTTTCTAGTGAACGGTACAATATCGCTATGCTTCAACTTACCATGGTAGGCGGTTGCGCTGCCGAATCGGGAGCAGTGGGTTCCGCGTTACGTTCTCGAGGGTCTGCTGAACTGACTGAATTGGATCGACTGATCGGTCCGGCTGTAGAGGATGCAACACTGCAGAATCGGGAAATCAAGCGCCGTACAGGATGGTCAGGGGCCAATGGTGGTTGATTTTTGTGAAGTTCATTCAATTCCTTTTCCCGCTGCACGTCAGATATCTTTCGAAAAACGAGCTAAAAAAATGGGGATAATCGGAGTGTGGATGGGAGCGTGAAAACGTGGTCAACATGCGGATTGTGGCTCACTTAACTGGCAATTATTCTTTTGACAACAACAAACTACACATTTGAAAAGATGAGTGTATATACATCTTCAGACACCTTCACAAATACTTTCTATTCTTAATCAGGAGAGATAACGAAAGACGAGTTATGATATCAGGATTCAACAATTACCTAGCGCTGTACCTAATTCCCTCATCTGTCCTTGTTTATTTGCCCGTTCACGTCATCTTGCTACATCATCCTGCCTCATTAGCCGAACCATGGAATTGGGAAGCTGGATTCATCCCATTCTCAGTAATAATCTTGAACTCAAAGCATGACGTCGCGCAGTTCCATACGTACCTACCTAATAATTTCGCTACATCTCAGCTGGCATCTACTGCACAAAACACTACATTAGGAGATAATATGTTGATTACTCGAAAACATGGAGTCATAATGAAGATGACTGAGACCCCTAAGACACCTATCACTGGTGTATTCGTTTGCGGTTACGCACTATTCGTTGCACTGTTCTTGCACAGAATCTATTACGGTATATACTTCTCCACTAGATTGAGTAACTCACTCCCAGTTCCACCATGATAGGCGGTTTCGTATTTACATTTAGTGGACAAATATAATTCTGTTTCGTGAACGGGGAGGAAGAGGTATCGACCAACTGCCTTGGTAACTGAGTGGTATTGTAATGCACAAATGGACTGGTAGACTGACTGTTACCCCTCACGTTGAGTTATGCCTTTCAGTCATTGGTCACGACTCGTTTGACATGCAATCCTACCTTGGCACCTCAATCTGTGAGTGCTGACGTTGTGCAGCTTAAAAAACAACAGTGAAGACGTTTAAGCAAGCGCTTGAACTCTGCTGTCAAGCCTGTCCTTTAAGCAGTGGACCCTGTCATCGCTTTCACTACCAACCGGATACCGCTGTCCCCTCCGCCAAATCAAACTGCATTTGTCAGTTCCAGTGTGGATGCTTAGGCATTTACATTGGCAGGGCAGAGAGGTAGTTAGGTCTGCAAATGTTCGAACACATCCCGGTGTGACTTAACAAAGTTGTTACGTGATCGATTGAACATGAGAAGAATCAGATCTTTAATTACTCAATATCTGTGTGATCAGTTCATGTTCCGGTTTTTTGCGCGTTGCTCGAGGGAGGTACAGGCGAGAATGAACGAACCTAATAGACCTCCGACGGTTGTTGTCGACACTTAGTGTCTCGAAAAACGGATTGACCAAACCTCCTGTGAATACTATGAACGGTACATTAAATTTCATCGCCCTGGAGGGGTATATGTGCCATTGCAACCACTAATCGGATGCGCTCACTAAGACAGTGGAATGTTGCTCTTTTGAACATGATTTAAATTCAAGCTTACTACAAATGTGGCCGTGTTACCTTTGTTAATTGGACAGTTACCGCTTCGTTTGCCACAGGGCAGTAGCCTGTTCAACACGGCACACCTCTATAAACGTAAGAACGATGTATTGGTCGAGAAACATTTTATTCCGTTTATCAATTTTATTAACACAAAAGGACATATTTGGTCAAAATTGATATTGATCGTCGATTTCTTACTTCGAGTTATTACCAGACTTTGAAGTTCACAGACTGTGGTTTTTAGAAGCGATAATTATTCATCGCTTGAAACCGTAATTGTGTTCAAAATGCGTTTGTAACGCAACTGTTATTGCCGTGGTGCTTATTACGCCACGCTTGATGCCACTTTTCAATGGTGTGATTTATGTTTCCCCTCTCTTCACCACATTCACTATCAAATTCACTTTCATATTGAAATTTGTCATCTAACTTGACCTTTACTCGTAACCAAACTCAAACTACGTATCTCACTTGTTCAAACGACTCATTTCAACCTCGATGTTTCTTTGTTTCACATAACTGTAAAACTGTGCGTTTAGAGCTGAATGAGAACACTCGAAATTGATGGCCAAGATCGATTCGCAGAATGCATTGTTGTCTTAGTTACCTTCATAGACTGAAAGCGGATAATCGGTCAGGAATCGAAGCAGGTGTCTAAGTAGGATCAGAAAATACATTGTGCTTATTTTGAAGTTCTCAAAAGTGAGCCGGGTGGAAATTCCATAGAACCACTAAGAACTAAGACTATCGACGGAGTTGTTCGTGTTCGCCTACTGAACATGAATTCGCTGGCACTCTTCCTATGTGGGCAGTTGAAATGTTCAGGCTTGACAGATGGAAGAGAAATAAACAGTGTGACAGAATGGTGTCTCCAGCAATGTGCTGTTGCTGAAAGTAGAACGAGACAAGTTCAACCATTATGACGTTCACAGTCAAGTCCAGAAAAGCTTTATGCGCCCAAAGGGTGAATTTTCAGCAATTCACGATTTTTACAGTGGATAGATAAAACGAATTGCCACCAAAAAGACAATAAAAGAAATTTTACACTTTAGTAAATGAGAAAAAGAGTAGTGCAACAGTTTTTCTCTGAGGTGGGTGAGAATACTCTGGGTATTAACCAGTAATCGAGAAAGGTATGGAATTACACTGTTTCTATATGGGGAAGTCCGCGCAAAAAGGAGTTGATATTTGGAGCGAGTTCGGGGATTTGACATGGCCTCGCGATATCTTAGTGCCGACGGTGCCCTTGATCACGTGTTATCCTGCCTAGTAGTGTATCAAAAGCTTCAAGAGGCTTGGAAATAAAGAAATTAACTGAAACAGACTCTGCGGTCTCATTCTGTGTGTACTCATTTATCTTTTCCTGTGGAACAAAGTACATATGCCGCACGGTCAGGCGATTGTCCGAACGGATTTGTGAACACCACCCTGCTTGGCTGAACACCGGAACGATTCCGTCACTCACCAGTACAGTGGTTTCTCA